TTTTTTTTTTTTTTTTTTTTTTTTTTTCTTAACACCAAACGCACACATAGCCTCATCTATTCTGGGGGGGCACCAGTCCGGTTACTTATCCCCGGCAAGCATGATGAAAAGGAACAACACGGACAGGGCGCGGCCAATAACACAGCGGTAGCAGACGACCGGGAAACTCCCTTTGGTACCCAGTCATCGTAGGTAAGCTAGATCTCTGGGTGGCAGGTCGCATATGTGTGATGTTGTTTGGTGTGTGGATTTCATCATCTCAAGTTATAATTCCGTGAATTTCCTTCGCAATTGCATTCTACACAACATTGCCTGCACTCAACAATATGGGGATGTGCGGGGGACTATGAAGAACCTACGGGACTACGAAGAATCAACCAAAGGTTCAAACTTATGTTAACTTTTTGTCACTGAATTCCAGGTCTGCACCCCTGACGACCAAATGGGCCCAACCTGATGGATCCAAGCTCTAGATCGACGAAGCCGATCTCATAGGTCGGGGGCAAGGGTGGCATTGGGGGATGGGGGGAGGGGGAGGCCGGGGCTTGGCTGGGGCTATGGACATGGAGAAGGGGAAAGAAAGAAAAGGGAACTGCGATGGACTGATGATGCTTGACTCACTCACGGTGACGTTGCCTCAGATGTCTTGAGAGGTGAAGTTGTGTAAGGATAAGAGTAGTTGCAGCGCAATTGTATTGAAAAGACAAGCATGCTCATGTCCAATCGTAAACCAAGAGCCTCTTTTTTTTGTGCCGAGTTTTGATTTTCTTGTGGATGATGTGTGAATGAATGTATGCCAATGTTCCCGTGTATGGTCTTCACTTTTGCAGGCATTCCATCAAGTGGGAAGGGCACTTGCAGAATCTGTTGTCTTGCCTATAATGATGCAGCCTCAACTCTTGCAGGTGAGGAATAAGACCTGTGCTTGCTGCTCGTTCCTTGTTGCTCGTTACGTGTTGCTTGTTCCTTTTTGCTTGTTGCTCGTTCCTTGTTGCTTCTTCCTTTTTGTTTGTTCCTTGTTCCTTGTTATTTGTTGCTTGTTGCTTGCAGCTATGGGAAGTGGTCCCTCTTATGTTGCTTGTTGAAGAAACAGTGCTCGTCGATTGTTGCTTGTAGCTATGAGGAGGGTTTCCTGTTATGCCAGGGTGTCCCATGTTAGGTTGTTCCACATCAGCCTGTCCCACATCACTGACGTCAGTGTCCCGTGCCAGCTTATCTCATATGGGTATGTGCCACGTCAGATTTTGTAGACACTGGTTACTCCGTGTCAGATCGTTAAATAACTGAAGCCATTCCTTTTTTTTTTTTTTTTTTTTTAATGCATGTCATCCTTGCGCAGGGGCGTGCTAATCTTCTCTGCATCGTTCCAATTTTAACGGATGTCCTGGAGGTCTTCTTTTTTTTTTTCCTGCTTTAAAAAAGAAAAATATGTGCTCAACTCACATGGTTCCAGAAGATGTTCCCATGAGACGATATTACCCACGATGGGTGGGCCCATGAAACCATGTATGCCTCCAATGAACAATGAGATTGCAAAACAGGTCTTACTTAAACCATGCATGAGCATGTAAAAGGTTTTAAATTTTAATACCCGTTTATTAAGTTATTATAAGTTAAAAAAAAAAGAAAAAGTTTTTATAACTTTTTAAATTTTATAACTTCGAAGGTGTTGAACGTGTTTTGAAGTTATTTTGGAATTTTATCGAATGCTGTTTTGTTGGTCCCTGCTGTGAGGGAAGCTGCACTGAAGGATGGTCGAGTGTATATGTGGCGCTACAAGGGGGACTGGAGTGCCAGTGCGAAACAGCTTGAAGATCGTGAAGATAGCATTTCTCGGGAGACCTTGTGGCAGGTACACATCTCCCGGTTCATTGCACGTGAAACACTTTCTCACGGGAATGAAGTTAGGGTTGGTATTAGCCATAGCGACACCCTTCAAAACAGGTCAGCAATCACGTCAACCAAGGAATGACGGTCTACCTCGCCTGTCCACGATCTTTAAACAGCAAAGACAGAAGAAGAAGAAGAAGAAGAAGAAGAAGAAGAAGAAGAAGAAGAAGAAGAAGAAGAAGAAGAAGAAAGAAGAGGAAGAAGAAGAAGAACCCAATAGAATGACATGAGTCGAAATGCTTACTCGCAGAATTCCTACAGCGGTTACTGCGTGAGATACTGGAAGTATTGCACTATTTCACACGCATGCATAGCAAACATGTGGTCAACATACGTAGATCCAAAAGAATCATTCCACAAGTCAGACGAAGAGAAATAAGGAAAGAAGGAAAGAAGGAATGAAGAAAAGGAGAGGGGAAGAAGAGGAGAAGGACGAATGACCACCAACTAGACTGTCGCAGACCGTAAAGGTGCAGACCAGAACAAGAACCGATCTCTCTCACATAGTACAATAAAGGTGCAGACCAGAACAAGAGCCGATCTCTCTCACATAGTACAAGATAGCGCAGCTGAAGGCTAATATACCAATGATCCGAACAATCAATGTTGCAATGCCGACCAAACATACATCATCATCATTCCATGGTGTGAAGGGGCCTGGCGCTCACACAGGAAGAATGTGCCGGTCCCCAACCATACACAGACGAAGAGGAGGGGGGTTAGACGAAGAAGAGGGGAAGATGGGAATGTTGTCAACACCAAGTCTTCGGTACAGGTCCCAAATAATCCCTCGTCCAATGTCTCAATCCCAATGTCGAGTCTGAATCCAAATTTTTTCAAGTCCCAAAGTCACCAATCTCTCTCTCTTCGTAGAAGACTGCCTCCTGCCTCCTGCACGTGAAGTGCCTGGGAAGTCCCTATGAACTACCTGCAGCCTGTAGGGCGGGCCAGTCTTATATCTGTCTCTTATACACATCTAGATGTGAATAAGACAACATGCCAGACCCTGGCGTTGAAGTTCAAACAAAGGTTGTCTTGAAAACAGGCCCAAAATGGCCTGTGCTAAAACCCTGGTCTGGTGCCTAAGTTTCAGGGCAGGTCGACTTCATGAGGGCCTGAAAATGGCCCTCATTTTCAGGCTTTTAGGCTGAGAMGACACAGGGCCTGTAGGCCCTTGTTTTCAGGCTTTTAGGCTGAAACGACACAGGGCCTGTAGGCCCTTGTTTTCAGGCTTTTAGGCTGAGACAACACTGGTCGGGCTCTGCAGGGTTGGTATTAGCCATAGCGACACCCTTCAAAACAGGTCAGCAATCACGTCAACCAAGGAATGACGGTCTACCTCGCCCGTCCACGATCTTTAAACAGCAAAGACTTCCAAAGAAGAAGAAGAAGAAGAAGAAGAAGAAGAAGAAGAAGAAGAAGAAGAACCCAATAGAATGACATGAGTCTAAATGCTTACTCGCAGCCACACACCTATAGTATAATTCTACAGCGGTTACTGTGTGAGATACTGGAAGTATTGCACTATTTCACACGCATGCATAGCAAACATGTGGTCAACATGCATAGATCCAAACGAATCATTCCACAAGTCAGACAAAAGAAAGAAGGAAAGAAGGAAAGAAGGAAAGAAGGAATGAAGAAAAGGAGAGGGAAAGAAGAGGAGAAGGACGAATGACCACCAACTAGACAGACACGACACTAGGTCAAGCCGACATCCACACATAAGTCAATGAAACAGTATCCCGAGCACAAACAGGGATCCGAAAGAAGGAAGTCATCAAACCAATCCCCCGATACTGCCGACCGCAAAAGCATGGGTCCTGCCTGAGACTGCCGAACGCAGTGACGGCGTGTGACTCGACGGTCCGTTTCGGCCGGTCGCCTACCGGTCCTCTTCAGGAGTCTTTGCTGACTCAAAGACACTGGTGGTTCGCTTGACCTATATACTACCGGACTCCTAACATTATTGCCAAATAGTTCCGACAGTCCCATACCGTTCCACGGAATCCTATCGGTCACGTCCTGTGTTTTTCGCCTGGGAGTACTACAATGCCTTCAAAGTTCAAACAGTGGAGCACCTGTCTTGCAGCAAACCAAGAAGTACATCCAACTAACAGACATGCAAAGTTCTAAACAGTGCAAAGCTGGCAAAAGACTTAGGGTTTAGTCAGCTCGTGAGGCAGGGCTTAGCGTTGGAGGGTTTAGGGTTTAGGGTTTAGTCAGAAACACAATCTTTCAGGCAAAGAGGCCCATGTGCATGCAAGGGCTAAGAATAGCTACGGCTGAGCGGTACAGACACATAAAAAAAAAAAAAAAAAAAGACAAAATAGAGCAAAAATAAAGGAAAAAGAACTTGTCCATTAAAAAAAAAAAAAAAAAAAACAAAAAAAAACTGAAAACTCTGTCAGTATATCTGTGAGGAGGGTAAGTAACGACTGATGGACCCTTTCCCAGGAAGGAAAGAGAGATCATATCTACTGGTTTCCTTTTAGGAAAGGTATCGAGTACCAATAGAGTCTCCTCTTGGATTGGTGTTATCAAATAGTTTATGGAAAGCGGATGAACAATCAGTGTACTATATCTATCCTAGCAACCTACTGCAGAAGATAGGAAGTGGATCCAAAACCTAGACTATTCTCTGCAATAGCATATGTAGTATGTGCTGGTTTCCTTGTAGGTTGGTGCAGTCAAATAGTTATGGAGGCGGGGTCGGGACAGAAACCCCTGTGAGGGTTTCTGCCTGAGTTTTTCAAGGTGAGACGCTGTCCGACTCTTTTCGTTGGATTCGAGAAACATGATGAGGTTGAGGTTGCCAAAGTTTATTCAGACCAACCTTATGACTGAGCGACCTAAAGCCAGACGTCATTTGAGCGTCGCTCTGCATGTTAGTCATGCTTTTATCCTTTGTTGATAAGTGATGTTCAAAGATGAGTCAACTCATGTTGTCTGGTCGTTGGATGGAAGTCGAAGTCAACCTTTGTCAATTTGATCTGAACGAGTGGTATGCATGATTGTATCGATTTTTGATGATAAGTCAACTTACGTTGACCTGAGTCTTCTTTTGAAAGTGTTTTGTCTGATTAACTCCTGATGTCTTTGAGAGAAGGGACTAGGATCACTCAAAGTTTTTTCTTACGCTTGGGATCTTACGCTTGGAATATCACGTCCTAGTCGACCGCCGTACGTTCCGATTCCTAGGAGATTAGCGCCCCAGGGACGGACGACGTTCGGGTCCACTTTGGCGTTCAACCATGCGTACCTATGCTACAGCGAACGAGCAAACGCCCTCGGCCGGCCTACCGCTGCAATTGCATTATAAAAACTTTCCCACGTGGGTCGGTAGCTCGGCGGGGATACGCCCCTAAGGGTGGTGACAACCCCTTAGGGAAGGTTAGTTGTGCCCCGCGGGAACCTATCCTGTCGTAGGGGACCGCGGGATGTACAGCTGGCGCACTCGGCCGGAGCGGCGAAGGGTCGACGCGGGTTACCGTGTCGTCCTCGAGTTGTCTCTAAAAAGTTGAAAGCCTAAGTTTCTTTTGCGTGACGCGGCCGGGAGGGCCCTCGCTCGCGCGGGGGTCGATGCGCTCGACAGCGGGACAGACGATTCACGTGCTACATCTACCCTAGCAGCGTGCTGAACAAGGTAGGGACTTGATAAAAAAACTAGACTATTCTCAACAATAGTATTCTGTACAACGATCTGTCAAAAAATGGCGCAATACCTTTCTCAGCCTTTTGGCTAAGATCAAGTGTAGTATCCATTCTGATCAGTCTAATAACTGATCCGTGGTCCATCGGGGGGGAAAACAAAACTTGGGCCGATGGTGCGGAACGAGCAAGCAGGGAAAAAAGGTGTTGGAGGAGTTGGTTGCAGGGATGTCAGCAATATGCCAGAGGTCAAATCCAAGAAATGATGGCAACCGTGCAATGCAGTAAGTACTGTCAGTGCTCATCACTCTGCAAATCAAGGAAAATTTACTTGAACAGTCAAAATACAATAAAATTTTCCTGAACTGCAGTGAAGATATGCTGTCTCACTGCACTGCAGCACTGCAGGACAGCCTGGGTACCACAGTGGAGTTTACCCTTTACAACTGCTCTTGGACACTGAGGGAACAATTTGTTTCTTTTGGGTAGGATAAGGGTGGATCAAAAGACAAATATATATATATATATATATATATATGGACACAAATGGGCCCTCGTCCCTTTGCTTCTCAGCCCCCTCTACCTCCTCATGCCTCAACTCCTCCTGTTTCCCTCCCTACCACATCTATTGTTGCTCCATCCGTTCCTGTACCGGCAGAATTAAAAAAAAGAAAAAAGAAAAAAAAAAGAAAATAGACTGAAACAGAGTCGTCATATAACTTTTTTTTTTTTTTTTTTTTTTTTTTAAACAGGTCCTTATGGTCCTGGCGCCATATCCATTCTGGGGAGCGTCAGTCTGGTTCCTATTCCCCTGGCAAGTCAAAAATGGATTACATGAATTGACATCATATTACCCACGCAACGCTTCCTTCCGTCTGGCCGAAGGACCCCTGATCAGCATTGATTGCTCCTTCTAAGGAGGATTGACCGTCAGTGCGCCCTGACCATTTTTTCCTCTCAGGCTTCTATTTAGAGCCTGTCAAATGAGTCCCTGTAATACGAGAACAGTGGGGGGGTCTACTCTGTGTTTTGTTGCTTGTCCTTGTCCTTCCCTGTGTGTCCGGTCCTCTTCTTGTTGATCACCATTCAGAACCTTCTGCCAGGTCACCCGGCATGTGCCCTTGTGGTCTTCATGATTCTGCCCGGTGCCATTTCTTCCACCTCAGTCTATTGTCTACTATTGTTGCCACCTCGCCCTTTAGCAACCAGTTCCTTATGAAAATTTGTTTCTTGGTTGCTTGTCCTTCTGGTTTGTGTCTCGTAGAGTTTGCTATTCTCTGCCATCTGCTCCTGATTTCCATTTCTGCCATGCTCAGGGGTATTGACCACATTCTTCTCTTGCCACCTCTGTTCCCTCGTCCCTCGATTGTCTGAGTGCATCTGCGTTTCCATATCACCCACAGTGCCAACTTCCTGAGTAGGGTGAACCATGCTTCCCTGCTGCCTGTGATGTTGCTGGGGATGTTAGTTAGAAGTAGGATAGAGATAGGGGGGATGTTAGGGGGGGGGGAAGCGAACAAGATTGACCATAGCTCGCGGATCTTCTTCCATATACAGGTTGCTTCAGGGCAGAAGAGGAGGCAGTGGGGGATGTCTTCAGGTGAGTCGTTGCTGCACATTGAGCAGCATTCTGAGCTATCAGGATCGGAATGTTTCCTTCTCTCGTGTAACCATTGGTTGACTGGCAGGGTTGCATGTGCTATTAGCCATTGCATACTTCAGATTCTAATTGTTCTGATGAGAACGTATTTGGTCTATGTGATGGTGATGGGGGTCGTGGTATCTAGGTTCAGTATGGTTCTCCATTTCTCTGTGAGCCTTGGGTTCAGGTCCCTGGTTTCTAGTCTGAGGTTATACCCGAACTTCGTCGTATTCTGCTATCGTTCTCGATGTACCAGCGGCGCCCAGATCCCAGATCCATTCCTTTGGGTCAAATTCGAACTCGTTGATGCTGAGTTCCGACTGGAATAGAAACCAGGGTATCTTGTGAGAGACTCTAACCTTCTTGAGAAGGTAGGTTTCTATTTGTTCGTTCTGTGGTGTTTTGTTTAGGATCTCTAGTTCATATAAGCTGTGTTTCATGATGCGGTAGGATACGAACTTGGCCTGGTAGTTAGTTGAGTCCGGTTTTGACACAAAACGGTAGGCTTTCGTTGGTGGGGTCTGTGTGGTGAGAAGTCCCCAATCTCCTGGTTTCCACGTATGTGTCTCTTTTAGGAGGTTCGTCCATGGGGGAGGAATGCTTTGGAGGATTTCAAACAGGTTCATGGTCAGTAGGTGGCAACCTTTTAAGGGAGTGCGAAGGTCCTATGCGGTGAGCCTTTCTTGTCGGTCTTCGGACCACAGATGTTTGACCTGCCATACTCCTCTCTCCACCCATGACAGCCATCTGCGGTCTTTGGCCCAGAGAGTCCATGGTCTGCCCTCTGTGTCTTTGATCCAGGGATTGCAGAACAGGGGTTGTCGTAGGACTTCCTCTTTGTTGCTCGGGGCCCCTTTCTTTTCTGGCATCAGTCGGCGCCAGGTCTTCAGGATCGGAGACCAGTAGGGGGTGGGTGTAGTGGGGGGTTGAATGGGGGTCACTGGGTTAGTTTCCTTGCTGGTCTCCCCGATTTGATTGTCCACTCCTTTGCCATGATCCAGAACAGGCCACTCATGTTCGGCGGGGTCGCTGCTGGTGCCAAATTCCTTATGCTATCTATCACCATTGTGGTCCACGGGAGGGCTTGTTTGGCTAGGATTTTGATTATCCATTTCATTTGGAGGGTGATCGCTTCCTGTTTAGGGTCGATTATACCTAGCCCTCCTTCTTGTGGCTTCCTGATGACAGTTTGCCAGGCCACCTTGTTTATGCAGGTGGTTCTGTTGGGGTCGCCAGTCCACTGATAGCACCTGGCTCTGGCCTTCAGCTTCTTCAGGTCGTCGTCGGGGGGGCATCATATGGAGGCCATGTACCACAAGGTGGAGAGTACTGTTGAGTCGTCATATAACTCATAAGCTTGAACTTTGAAGTTCAGTTAAGAAAATCCACAGTCTTCAGACTGGCAGCGCTGTCAGCTCTCTCTCTCTCTCTCTCTCTCTCTCTCTCTCTCTCTCTCTCTCTCTCTCTCTCTCTCTCTCTCTCTCTC